AAAATGCAGGCAGTTGTGGTGTTAGTACACTCGTTGGTATCATATCTACCCTATCACCTCGTAACACTAAGCGAAGCATACGTCGTTCTGAGAAAGCCCATTTCATTTCGAACTACTGCAGATACCTCTGCTCGGTTCGGCAGGCGAGTAGGTGAGAGAAGGGGTGAGTGACTGCTAGTAAGCGTACGATGAATAATGAACCATTTTCCATGTAGACGAGAACGAAGCTGTCAAATTGGAATAGGTGAACAGGTGCGGAGCAGTGCAGTATTCCGTGTTCAACAGAGAACTACGGAAGCTGTTATTCACACAAGGACATTTGAAAGGCATCCGTGAGGCTTGTTGCTGTAGGGTTTCTAGTCCACCACCACCGCTACCACATGTGCACCTCATTCCGTCAGTGCATGCAGCATCCACTTACCTTGGCACGTATTCTCCATGCATTCCCCATTTGTGATGTCGTGTGATGAAAGTGTACAATAGACAATACCTTTAGTGGCAACATTTCTGTGACACAAGATTTCAACAGAATTCACTATTCCCACACGGGGTCAACCCTTCAGCAGCGATGACGAAGTGAAAATGAAGCGAACCACTAGGGCTTAAAAGAGCAGGTCATCTTGGAATACGTCTAAGGCTGCGAAGTGTGTATAGGTGCACTTCTTCTCTTTCTTCTTCGCCTTCTTTCATCAATTCTTAAAACCTCTGTTTGTATTGCACCACTTCCACTGATGCAAATTCTTTAGAACCTGCAGGATTTCATCAATACCTTAGCGAATCAGAGTTCTATCCCTCCCGTTACTTAAATCCCCTTTATGTTAAAAATCGTCTGACATACCTATACAATATTTACAAACTTTCTTCTCAACTTTAATATCATAAATCCTCTTCAGGTAGGCAGTTGCTCGTAGTATTTACGTCTGCATCCTTATCTGCATTCTCTTTTCCCTTTTTACACTAGTAGCCTATTGGAAGGGATGAATTGTGAGGAGAGGGTTGGGAATATTCACTGATCACCAAAACATGTATAAGAACCTATTTACCACTTTGCCCTCTCCCGAGGTACACCTAACTTCATTACTATGCGTCTTTTTGGTCTTGCATGGTTTCGCCGCTTCCTTCGTAAAACAAGTACAGCCACGTAGAAGCATTGGAAAATACGGTGTTTAGTTGCTCCAGCATTTCACAAACAAGTTAAATTGTCCTCCCTTTTCCCCTTTCTTACATTTTCTCGTAAAGCAGATTTTAATTCTAGTTATTACAAACATCCTTATAACTTCTTGTCAAACTCTATTTAAAGGGCAATTGGATGCAATTTCTTTATAAAAAAAATATTTGCAACTGATGCTAGAAGGCCGTTGACAGAAGTAGCCTGGATGGATAGCCATGACAAAGGGGTGGGACTTGTGAATGCGGGGACAGGAAGATCCGCAATTCGTAAACATCTAAATTAAGCTACGAACGTTACAGTCCTTTAAAGTCACTTTTCTAGACTAAAATGAAATTTAGCTGGAAGCATTGAAGATTTTGACGTGAATAAAAAGAGGTTAGGGTAACCAGCACATAACTTCAAAAGTACATATGGTGCGGTGTTTCTACTTGAGTTGGCGTTTTCTGCAAGGAAGTCTAAATCTGGATTGTTCACAAAGGTTGTAACTACATGATGTTAATCGAATTGGGGCTTCTGCTCTTACGTGCTACTTTTCAACGCTTTTTACCTAATCAACTTAAAAGCAAGGCATTGGTCCACGTCGTCCTCGGAAAAAAAATAACTGGACCTCCGCATGCTCTTAGCTGCTCGTATTCCGAAAATTAATTATTGGTCATTTATGTAGTAACAAACAATGCCCTCATTTTGGTAAATTTAAACAGATCGCAATATTTAAAATGCATCCCAAAAATAATTTGGATTTGTTTACAATAGAAGCAAACTAGGTAAGCAATACTGGCAAAATTCGTTTGCTTTTGAACGCCCTAATTAAACGTGACATAATGTAGCGTCCCGAGACTCCCTGAAGACAAAAGAAGACACAATACTCGGGCAGAATATGTATTCAGCACGGAGAAGGTGTCTGGGCTATTGGCATGGCCCAAAAGGCCAGCCCACCCAGCGAGGTACAAGGGTGCTAATTCGAAGTCCAAGAAGTGGCGCCTCACCAGAACCGAGGGATAAACCATTATCGTATTACATAGCCTCCCTCCTCTTTTGAGCGTCGTCCTCGGCGCTCCCACAGGTCAACCTCCCTCGTCAGCCATTACAACGTAGTCGGTGCAGTAAAGAAACACCCACGAGCTGACCTTGCCAGTCACCAAATTAGTGCGCAACTGAGGGGATACTTGACCTCAATATCACTGATCCCTCTTGGCGGCTCGACTGGATCTGGGGTTTCGTCCGGTTTAGGGATTCGATTCAGGACGGGGAATTGCGCCGGCCATCATGCGTGTCCATAGATAGATGCAGGAACACTGGCCTAAAAGCAGATTTGAGTAAGGAAGTACAAGATTTAAAACAGGTCTATGGGGGACGGTAGGGGAAATCCGTAACGAAACTTCCAGATGGTTCACGGCTAGTGTCGCTTCAGTTGTTAATAGCTTTTCTGCAGAACACGGGACTGGGAGAGATGCCGAAGGTAGACGTCAACATCAACCCTCCCATCTGTAGCATATGTAGCTCTTCCGCTCCACTAAGGCTTATCACGCAGAAGTGGAGAATCAGGATACATGTCTTCCAAGATCGGGTTCGCTTTCCGCTGCCACTAATGTAGCGTCCCGAGACTCCCTGAAGACGAAAGAAGACACAATACTCGGGCAGAATATGTAATCAGCACGGAGAAGGAGTCTGGGCTATTGGCATGGCCCGAAAGGCCAGCCCACCCAGAGGGGTACAAGGGGGCTACTTCAAAGTACAAATGTGGCGCCTCACTAGAACCGAGGGGTAAACCACTATGGTATTACAATAACTGTTAAAATGATAACAAAATGCATAAAATTTTAATTGACTTAAAAATGGCAAACTGTGAATAGGCCTACTTCAAAATAGCTGAATATTTGCTTACCTTAAATGTCAAAGGCCTGAAATTCTTCAGTCTACACAATTTGTAATTACACGAACAAAGGTGCAGCGTATTCAGAAATGCCCTAAATTCCATTTGATAGAGAAGCGCACTTTCCCCCTAACTTGTTATCTCAAGACAACCATGAATTAACTTCCTCCGGCAATCGCTGTGGATTACTAAGAAATTCTTCTACATCTATACTTATAGCTACATTGCACCTTCATTAACGGATTATGTCGCTATTAGTAAGCTAAAGAAACTCCTCCGATCATACTTGCAGGCATTATCAGATTACAATAAGCCTCTACGTTTTACATTTTGCCTTATGCCTAAATATGAGCTGAAAAAAATGCGTTTTCTTTTTACTTTGGGTTATATAGACGCGCATCTGTTTGGATGATTGTCTAACTGAATGACTGGATCAAACTGAGAAGTATTTTAGCAAAAAAAATTATCACTTATTGTTTTGCTGAAGATATCCCCCTCACCACCATTTTTTTTACTTTTAAGTGTGGCATAAAATCATCCCTTTGAGAATTCGCATTATCTCACTCTCGCAGTGTATGTTTATGTGTGCGGAAATGGACATAAGCCGGAATGTTTACTTGCTGAAGTTCAAGCCCTCAAGGCTGTGACCAAAGGATCTACCAAATCTACAAACTTCTCAAAGGTCCCTCATGCCAGCTAAACAGAATGCTTTATTGAGAGGACAATCCACAACGAAGCACCCTTTCACACTTGTCGTCCCAAAACTAGCCTTTGAGAAGACTTTTTAGCACCACATTTTGGGGGAAAGAGAGTGAAAGAAAGAGATATAGTGTGGGAAATACAGCCGCGCTCATAGCCTCACACCAAAATCCTCCAGTATCCTTTGATTGTGCATTACCAAAATAAAAATCAACTTTTCACAGCATTACTAACCAAATGCAGTAGGATCACATGCAGATTAGACATTGGAGGCTTTGGAAACCAATGGACGATAAGGCGTGGGCGGGTAGAGTCTTGTTTTTTTCCTTACAATAACTCATACCCCGTTGGAAATGTTCTGTGAAGTTGTACATGTATAAAGGGTATTAATAACTCCTTCAATGGAGTATTCATTTTGTAAAAATAGATGAGGGATAATAACCCTGTGTTTCCTTCCCGGATGATAAAACCCATCCCTCACCCTTCATCTATGCGCTAAAGAATTTTTACTTTTCAACTATCTAACTTCAAACACCGACATTTAGACAATCTGTCGTTGGTTTTTTTTAAGGTTAACAAATGTCACTCCTCTAGTACCCTAAGTTGATGCTTCTGGGGTCGCTATTGGACTACGCACTGCTTGTCGCCTTGGTCAACTTGCTTTATGCGCTTCTGTCCACGACAAGGATCGCCTCAACAATTGACCTTTCGCATTACAGTCCTTAACAGAAAGGAGAGAGGAAAAAAGAGGAGGAACAAAAAAGGCTACATAAAGTACAGATTGATACTGGACTAGAGAATTACAAAATCTCCGTGGAGGTGTGACGCCCATGACCTCCAAATATACACCAGAAAGAAGAGTGAAGAAAATTAAAAATCAGACTGATACACTTTTCCTGGATTCTCTAACACCTTATTCTCCATTTTTTGCAAATGGGAAAGAACAGATGTTTGTTTTATTGCGTGGGAGATACTTCCTTATTCTCCACAATTAGGTGTTGTTTATTCTCCCTTATGAGGTAGATCCACACAGGTGGAGCATTTCTCACTGTGGAGGCACAGTCCAAACAAGTGATAAGGGCGTTTCGATAGGACTGCTTTACATGAGGTACTTGTAACAATGGGTCGGGGGAAGGAGCCACCTCAACTATGTCATCTTGATCATTTGGCTTCTCCTGATAGGCCACTTCGATAGGTTCACTGGATGCAGCTGAGTTGATTAACTCATTCACCCAGCACAGCACTGCTAGAGGGATTTGACTCCAATGAAAGAATCTTTTGGCCCGCGCATTTGTCTTATGAAACATTTTTGGAGGCCAACAACTGTTAGCGGCCCACATCTGATAGTTTGTCACGTACTCCATAAAGTTGATTGGATCGAGCTCCGCCACTGCGGTGAGAGCTAAGTGGTCATGAAAAGGCGAGAGAAGACACAAAAAGGTGTGACCTTCACTGAGAAACACTTTATGCAACAATTCCGGTCGATAGGGTGCCCTTGAGATTATCCACCTATCCGAGGTTGAGATCTCACTTGAGGGCAACACCGTCTCGTCACTCTTGCCCTCAGTGTTCGCTTTTGGACGTCGTTTGGGGGTAAGAAAATTGTACGTGGGTGTAGACGTGTCAAACAGTCGAAGGAAGTGATTGTTGAAGATTTGCAGGAATTGTCGTGATCCACCCATCATACAGAGCCTATCAATATCATAAGAAGTGAAACACAACGGTCGCAGGAGGTCAAGGGATTTCAAGTCTTCTGTGCTGTCTTCATCTTTCCTTCCTCGCAGTTCGATCATCTTTAAGTCCAACAGTTTTTCCTCCTCATCTGTATCCTAGAGAAGGAGGGAAAATAAAAATAATGTAGAAGATTAATCTATAGAGAAAAAGGAATGGTCATCTAGAGAAGCACATCAAAATTAGCCAGTCAAATAGCTCAGGCTCCTAATCGCTGTCCATCCTTTCTGTCCTTTTTTTTCTTCTAAAGCCTCACTGACCTCACACAGAACATCCAAATTTATTATCCTCACATGAGGTCAAGGCCGTGTTTCCTTTATTTCTCCTGTCGAGAAATTCCTCCATTGCAAAAAAATCAAGCCTACTGAGCACATCTGTTATTTTACATTTTTAGCCAAAATTCCGTCACAAATCCCGCTGATCCATTAAAATAAATTAATTGGCTGATAATCGCACCTAATTACACAATTTTAGCCTTTTTAATCAGCCTATCATGGATGCGAATAACCCGATGTCTTAAAACAACTCATCTGGCGGGATAAATGTCTACCTCAGAATTGTTCATCTAAATTGGTCATCTTTTAGCCAGCCAGTCTCCTTTCCGAATACAGCATGTTTTGTACCTTAAAACAATTGGTTTGATGGGAAAATCGTCTTATTTAGAAATATTTATTAAAACTATTTGGGTTTCAATAGGTGCATCAACCCCCAGACGCGGGTAGATGAGTGAGTTAAAACAACTTATTTGGCGGGAAAGGTACCTAATTTAAAACGATCTGTCAGCCTTGCTTCTTAGCCAGAAAATTAAAAAATGATTTTTTTACTCACGCTGATTTCGTCTTCTAATGTGTAACAATAGCCGCCAGGGCGATAGAATGTGGAGAGGTGGGGGTGTGGTGGGTGGATAAACAGGAACTGACTACAGTCGAATGATCAGTTTAATCGAAAATCAGTTGAAAATTTTGCTATCTACTAAGATATAAAATCCTCCGAAATGAGAGTGGGTGACAGGCATGATTGGAAGGGGGAGAGGGCATAAAAAAAGCTGGGTTGAATCGTCTCCTTTGTCTAAAATAAAAGGCTGAGGGAGATTTACTGTCACAATACATTAAGGCAGGGTAGTAGGACAAGGGGAGTAGTCACTTAATCACTAAATTAGTGCCAAATTTCTGCTCATCGTAAAGAGAATGCAACCCCTTTATACTCTTCCCCCGGGGCACTTTTTCTACGGGCTCACGGTGCCCACCCCATGTAAACAACTGGACCCAGATTAAAATACCTCCAAAAACTTAATTTTAAAGTGTGTTTGATGAGAGAAACCCTCGTCATTAGGGCACATTTGAAGATCTGGGCGGCAAGAAGTAAGCTCGACGCCAAATCTAGCCTAACACGACTCCTCTACATTCTCCTCTCTTATTTCTCCATGCCACAAGTTTATTCTTTGTGTGGTCATGCGGTGGTCAAGACGACTTGGCAGTTACTTGAAGACATATGGGGAGGTAAAAAACTAAAGGGTGAGGTCTTCTCAGGAATCGTTTAATACCTGAAAATATCGAAGGAAGAGAAATAGGAAATTTTTCTCGATCAAACCAAAGTGGTCAAGGCTTAGATGGTGTGACCTTCAGCAAAGAATAAGTCGTACCAACTTCTCCAAATCTCCGTCAACTGCCATTCATATGCACACAGAAAGCGAGGTAAAGAAAATACCCTCCTGGGCATGAGGTAACGTACGCTTTCAAAAGCCGGATTGACAGTAAATCATAACCGGTAAAAGCTATTTTAATCATTAAAATTAGTTGAGTAAATGGATGGATGGATGGATGG